ATCGATCACTATTATTCCCGGATCAATTACCACAGTCCCGTGGAAGGACTTCAAGTTTTTGTGTGTCACGCCGGCTGGAAGTTTAGCCAGCGTCGTATTCCGCAGTGATGGAAGGCCTGTAGATACTGACCCGCGCTACAAAGTTGTGCGCCTCAACCAGACAGCTGTCCAAGTGACCGCGCCTTATGGTCTGCGTGGAATAGATACTGACGTCCTGCTGTGAGTACTCCAAAACCACAAGATTCATTTTCCCCTTGAATTTTTAGGATTCCTTTACTGTAATAAGAAATGGTTGGGTCCTTACATCCAGGATTTAGAGTGTATTTACTCGACTAAAATCTCAACTTCCATTTACTGTTGACTGGGACGCTTTTTCTTTTCTTTGAAACGTTCTAACTTCTCCATTCTCCCTTGGTTGCTTTCTCAGCAATCGCAAATCCATTTAACCTGGGCTCGACTTACCCATCGAAGTAGGTCCACGATTGACAACTGGGAAAATTATCCAGGCAAATTTAGGCTTTTCAGGGACAAAAATCGGATTCGAAAGTTCGCACGTACTAACTGCACTTGATATTTATTGGAGCCCAAAACTTCGTGATCCTATTTATGAACCGTCAACAGATGCTGAGAACAAGAACGCTATGACTACCAGCCTCTGCACTTCTGTTGTATTTTATCAAGTGGACAGCTCCTCACCAGAGTTCGTGGGCGATGACCTAATAGGCAGGCCTTTAGTTTTCATTGCTGTAACATGCCTGCTTATTTGATTTAGGCAGACATTTTATATTAGGCTTATGTTTCTGGCTGAGCTTAGTAAAATGCCAAATGGATAGGTTGGGTTTAAGGTTAGGCTTATTTTAACGAACGCGGTTAAGTAATAAATGCGAATAAAAGTGTTCAGCTTAAATTTTCCTACTGCAGGTTCTGTTACCCAATCCGAGCTCCCTTAACTAATACCTTGGGTCTCCTGTTTTTCGTTCCTTTACACAGTTCTTATTTGATTATTTCACGTTGCACCTCTGCTCCAGTACCTAATTGGAGTAATAAAGCAAACTTTTGATAGAGATGCGAGTATTTTAATTGCCTTCCACCGACTCGGTTAAATTCCTACTGATAAAACTCATATCACCACATTTCCCGTTTCATAAGATTCCCTGTGCTCTAGTTTTTTTATTCGAATTCCGTATTAGATTTTTGTTATTTTGTGTCCTTGGTTATGTGCTCCCCCTAACAGGAAGGAGGGAAGGTGGTGAAATAAACGGAAATATTCATTGACTCGGAGGTCAGTTAAGCGGGCTGAAGATTCAATTTTTGTATCGGTGAGGCCTGCAAATAACAGCTGAAGTCTACTGGTTGTTGGAAGAAGGTTTATCTTCCTTTCAGGTGGTCTGTCGTTGACACTCGAGATTTGTACAAAATGTTTTGGCAGGAGTTTCCTTGGTAGTGGCGAAACAAAACTCCACATTTCCAGGTTTG